ATATATATATATATATATATATATATATATATATATATTTACAGCATAACCATGAAGCTACTCTGCAAAATGCAGAGATTTTGCATTTATGAAGGTAAAGGGAGGTAACTCTCTCACCACGTCATAATACCATATCACTTAAGAGAACACAGAGAGGTGGTTAATTAACTTAATTTAAAACACATTTTAAATTAAAATTAATTAACTAATTAAATTAAATACAATTAATTAATTAAATCAAATTTAATCAAATAATTAATAATTAATAATTAATTTAATCATTTAAATATTAAATAATTAATTAAACTAATTTAATCAATGAAATAATATTTAATTTCATTAAATATCATATATTTAATGAATCATGATCAAACCTCCTCACCTATAATTTGAATGTGAATCATATTTACATTAATTTTAACCTATTGTTTAAATACGAATCTAATTTATATTAATTATTAATTGAATCTTATTTAATTAAAAATATTTCTCATTTATAATATAATGTATCCACATACATTATAGTTTAATTGTACCTTATACCACTAATTTACACTCCCTTCAATAATTTGAACAATTCAAATTCTTTTCAATTCTTGATCCTCGTTTTAACTGTTGTGAGTTGGCAAGGGGACCTAATGGACCTACAGATCACAAGAACTCTGATATTTTCTCTCAAGATCGATAGTTCTTTAATTTAGTTTATTGAAAAAAGTTTTGAGGTTTTTGTTTTTAGAATAAAAGATTTTAAGGACTTTTTGTCCTAAAAATTTTTCAAAATTTTTGGTTTGAATCCTGTTGTTTACAAGATTGTTTTTGGGCTATTTCGAGACTCATTTTGTATAAAAAATTTACCTATTTGAATCCCATAAACTTAGCTTATTATTTTAATTTTTACATGAAAAATTGTATGTTTTTACCAAGTTTTAAAGGTATTTTATACAGTTTTCAGATATGGTTTTTTCTATAAAAATCAGTAAATTGTTAATTGTTTTATGGAAAATTCTTGGAATTTTTATGTCATAAAATAGAAAAATTTTCCAGATTTAAAATCTCAAAATTTCAATTATTTAGAAGGTTTTAAGCTTGTTTTGTTGAGAAACTTTTTGTAAATTTAGCTCGTATTGATAAGTATCAATTCTTGGACCTTTAAAGTTGATATTTTTGAATTTTGAGGCTTTTAAATCCTGTTTTCAGATCTGGTTTGGTAGCCCTAAATCCATATTTTTCCTAATTGTTTTACATGAAAAAGTGTTTTGAATCGGAAAATTGGGTAGGTAAGATTTGTTTAGTAATTGGTTAAATTTTAAATCCTTACATAGATTTTAGAATTGACTTTGGATATGAGTTATATTTTAGATCTCTAAAAAGATTGACAATTATTTAGGAAGGAAGTTACTTAGATTGGTGAGATTTTTGATAGAGGTAAGTGATTTACCATATCCCTTCGAAAATTATTCAAGAAGGAAGTTATTTAGATTGGTGAGATTTTCGATAGAGGTAAGTGATTTAGCATAATTCTTCGAAAAGTATTATAAGCAATTTATCATATCCATTCGAAAAGTATTGTAAGTAATTTGCTATATCCCTTAAAGTGTTGTAAGTAATTTGTTATATCCCTTCGAAAAATTGATATTATGTTTATTTGCAAAATATTTGAAGCATGTTTTGTATGAATTGATAAAGTTTTGTTGAAATTATTTAAATGTTTGAAATTGATCTTTGAGTCATTTGTGAAATATTTGAAATTATGTTTCGCATCATTTGATAAAGTTTGTTTGAAATTATTTAAATATTTTGAACTGAATATCTCATATTGAAAGTATGTATTTATTTTGCACATTTATTTGAAAGATATTTTTGATGGATTTGATAGTACTATCCGGATATGCCATTTTTTGTTTTGTTTTGAGGAATGTTTTGCTTATTTGTGGTTTGACATTCATTGGGAATGAAGATTCATGTGTGTGTTATTCACTCGGACTCACACTTATTTGACAACTCTATTATGGTCAATATTAATTCGACAACTCTGATTGATTGGTACGATGTTATCGATGGATAACCACATATGTTCGGTAAGCTACCAAAATGATGCAACCTCTCACTCTGATTTTGAAAGTATGAACGAATGTAACATTGTTTTGAATGTTTGAATGATTTAGTTTATTTGAAAGTTTGAAAGTTGTACTAAATGTTTTAGAAGGACTTTTAAAATTTTTGGTCTGTTTGTATTTTTGTTATAAATGTTTTGAAAGGAAAAATGAATTTCAATGTTTGATATGAAAATTGCTTATTGAGTATTTTTGTACTCAATTTTTTGTTTTCCAAATGTTTTCAAATAAAGGTTCGAGTAACTGCTCAGATAGTGATTGAGGAATAGCGTTCTGGCTGGAGGAGTTGGGCATTTTTAGTATTTTCCATTTTTTTTAGCTTATGAGAACTTAGTTAGTTCTACTAGTTAATCTTTAGCTTTATTATAATATAGGTTTCTGTTTTAAAGTTGAACTTGTCCTTATTTTTCCGTATTTATTTGTTTACGCTTCTGCATTATTGTTAGAATGATCGCATTAGAAAATACGGGCAGTTACATGTTTGCTTCAAAAGACCAAGATGTTCTCCAATTTTCTTGATCCCTGATTAGTATGTTGAAGAGTGTACCTTAGTTGGTTGATTATGAACGTGTGCACATTACCAAAATACTCTTCAACTACCTTCCAAACTTTAGATGACGAGGTCATCTCGAGGAAGGAGCATGTTACGATGGCTTACATGGAGCTAAACAACCATCCAAGAAGTGACTGATCTTTCACCATCCAATATTCATATGTTGGATTTGGAACAAGTGTGTTTGATCGGTGGTTCTTCGGATATATATGCAGCCGGTTTGGGTATTGTACCAGCACAAAGCCATCTAAATGCTATCCTCACAGTAAGACTAAGACTGTTGACTTCCAGAGGTAGTTGCTTCATCGCGCTTCGGTTACTGAAATTCAAATTATTCAGTGCTGCATTTTGAAGTACAAAGTGAATGGTAGGAGATGGAGTAAGGAGTATTTGCTCTTTTGAGCTTAATTTGGCGAGGGATGTTTTCTCAAATTTTAGGGTTTCTTCAAAATTGGCAATTTGAAAAAAGAAAAAAAAAAGGTTGTGAGCCGTAAAGCTCTGATACCAAGTAAAGCTTTGCTTTTGATTATGAAATGCTTCCTCTCAATGATACGGTGAGAGAGAAAGACTAATTCTATCTATAGAATTGTCAAACTGATTACAGAAGGAGAATCCACAATTATACGCCGAGAATACTGACCAAAGATCAAGCAAAATTGTAAAACAGAGAGAAAATGGGAGAAATAGAAGGGAAAAATGTATACTGAATCACTGTATTTCCACTGTATGAAAAAGGTAAAAGGGCTACACATTACATAGCCAAGATAGTAACAAACCACATACAGGTGGCATGCTAGTACATGATAAAAAGAATAATAGAAAGGTGTAATGCAACATAAAGATTAAGCAATTCATAAATGGAAATTTGATTAAATAATCTCATTTAGACTCGATGGTTTAACATTCCCCTGCAAGCTAATTGGTCCATTGACAACAGTTAGCTTGATTCGAAGCCCCTGAAATTGAGCAGTTGGTAATCTTTTAATCATAATATCAACAATCTGGTCTTTAGATGAGACATGTTTGACTACCAATTCACGATTAAAAATGCCTTCATGAACAAAATGGTGGTCGATTTCAACATGTTTTGTTCGTTGATGCATAATTAGATGAGCAACTAAATAAGTTACACTAATATTATCACAAAGAAGCAAAGGTGAAGAGTCAAGAGAAAAACCAAGTTCACGAAGAAGTGAAACGACCACACAATTTCAACAGCAGCGTTAGCCAAGCCCCGATACTCTGACTCAGCGCTAGAACGAGATACAGTCTTTTGTTTGGAAGACGACCAAGAAACAAGATATTTCCCAAGAAAGTGCAATAACCACTAGTACTTTGACGGTCATCTGGAGAGCTTGCCCAGTCTGCATCAGTATAACATGTGAGGCGAATTGCAGAAGGCAGTACTGAAAGACCGTGGTTGACAGTCCCCTTGAGATAACGTAAAATGCGCTTGATTGCAAGCCAATGTGTGGTGGTAGGGGCATGAAGAAATTAGCACACTTTGTTAACCGCAAAAGATAAATCTGGTCTAGTCATTGTACAATACTGAAGAGCACCCACAATGCTACGATATTCAGAAGGATTGGGCAAAGGTTCACCATCTGAGAGAGAGAGTAATACTAGAAACCATGGACGTCGGTAGAGGCTTACAATTAGCCATTTCAGTGTGTTTCAACAAGTCCAAAATATATTTCCTTTGTGATAAGTGAAGTCCAGCACCAACATTAGACACATGAATGCTAAAAAAATAAGATAAAGAACCCAAATCCTTGAGCAAAAATCTATTATATCATCAACGTACACAAGGACGATTAAAAAGGCAGAAGAGTTGCACAAGTAAAACATTGATGTGCTAGATTTGGATGCAGTGAATCCCCAGTTAATAAGGCAAGAACTGAACTTTAAAAACTAAGCCCGATGACTTTGCTTAAGACCATAAAGTGCCTTATTTAAACAACAAACATACCTGAGATTTTTCGTGTCAAGGAAACAAGGAGGTTGTTCCATATAGACTTATTTCTTGCAAATCTCCATTCAATAAGGCATTATGCACATCCAACTGCCGTATAAGCCATCTGAAATTCACAGCGAGACAAAGCACAATTTGAACGGTTGCAGGTTTGACTACGGGGCTGAAAGTGTCAAAATAATCAATACCAAACGTTTGATTGAACCCCTTAGTCACAAGGCGAGCTTTGTGTCATTCAATAGAACCGCAAGGCTTCATTTTAAGTCGAAAGACCCATTTGCAACCCACTCGTGTACACCCAATAGGAGGCGGAACAAGGACCAAGTATTTTGCCGTTGTAAAGCCTGAATTTCGGATTCCATAGCAGATTTCGACGCTGGACAGTCTAATACCTTTTTATACGAGGTGGGTTCAGAGAGGGAGGGATCAACGATAGCTGACCAAATTTTGGGTTTAGAGATGTCATCCTTAGACCGAGTTATCATTGGGTGGACATTGGAAGAGGATGGGAGAAGAGATGAAGTGGTAGGGGGCAAAGGATCCGAAGGTGGTGGGGGAAAATTATTAAGTTATTGTGCTAAAGGTGGAGATGGAAGGTTAGATGTAGAAGTGGAGGTGGGTACAAGACTATTTGAAGATGGAAAGAGAATTGGGGTGTGGTGTAGAAAGGGACAAGGAAGGTAAGGTGTTATCAACCAAAGGAGGTATAGTAGAAGGTATGGGAAATGAAGAATGAGCAGTCAGATGGGAATAGGGAGGAGAGACCAAAGAGAACAAGGAATTGTCCGGATAATTGGATTGAGTGGTTGAAGACTGAATGCTCTTTGAGGTTAAGGGAAAATTTAATTCATAAAAAACGACGTGTCTAGAGACGTAAATACGACCCGTGGTGTAATCCATACAGAGATAACCCTTGTGATTAGAGCTAAATCCAATGAAAATACACTCAGTTGAACGAAATTCTAGTTTATGTTTATTGTATGGACGAAGAAACGGAAAACAAGAGCATCCAAAAACTCTCAAAATACTATAATCTGGATTTAAATTATAAAGCAAAAAATAAGGAGAACGATTAGACAAAATGGATGTAGGAAGACGATTAATTAAGTAAAACTCATGGTGGAGGAAGAGAATTGAGAAGGATATTGCGCCATTTGGGTAAAACGTATGTTTACCAGAGCTCTGATACCATGTAAAATGGAGAGACAATGGGAGAAATAGAAGGAAAAATGTATACTGACTATATTTCCGTTGTATGAAAAAGATAAAAGGGCTACACATTAAATGATCAAGATAGTAACAAAGCACATACAGGTGGCAGGCTAGTACATGAATAACATAAAGGTGTAATGCAACATAAAGATTAAGCAATACATAAATGGAAATTTGATCAAGTAATCTCATTTAGGCTCAATGGTTTAAAAAAAATTAACAGTGTATAGAAGGCAAGAGAATAATGATACAAAAGGAAAATAATCTTCAGTGCTACAAATGAGGAGAAGATTGGGGTTGTTGAGATTTTTTAGGATCGAGCAACTTCGTTTCTGTGTTTTGATTCTAACACAAATTAAGAGTTAAATATATGTTAAAAGGTACTAACATCGAAAGAAACAATATAGACAAATTCAAGCATATAGTTCAGTAGGATAAGATATCTTTAATCTCAAAATTTGATGGGATCTCCCATCTTGTAATTGTTGAACTAACTTTATTTCTTGATTTTATTATATACGACGACAAGCTTTCACACCTTAACAAGTTCGTCATCACTGTCCTTTAAATAATGAACAAGTAGTTGGATTATTTTAAATTTTTTCTTCATAGTAATTGATGGGTGCGGAAAAGGATCAAATTACTCTCCGAGCAAGAGAAGAGTTGTAAATTAACTTCTATTTTGTTTTTCTATATTTGCAATTATATTTTACGTGTATATTTGTATTATTATATGTTTGATCAAGGATTTGATAAGTCTCAATTGCGAAGTTTGAAATTTTGATACTAACGAACGAAGGACCTGCAAATAGAGAGTTAGTATTTTGATGCTCTAGTTAGTATTGATTTGATCTTTACTTGAGAGAGAATATAGTTTTGTGTACTTGGAGAGTGAGGCGAGCGACTCTATTTATAGGTGTTAAGCTTGTCAAAAAGGTGGTAGAGCGGATTTGTGATATAGCCCATCCTTATTGCTCGAGCTATATCTTTTTAGCTGAGGTACTCTATCCTCGAGCTATGAATCAAGGACTAGGTAACCTATGATCGAGCTATTACTTTTCGAAAAATGGGTCCAACTTCGTACTTGCTTATGGTCGTTAACTTTAGGGAAAAAAAGAAAATAATATAACAAATAAGATTTCTTGATACAAACATAATAACCTATTTATACTATCGTAATAAGGAAATCTAATTCAAATATAATTATAATTCAAATAACATTATCTAATAATAGTATCGAGCAACGATAAATTTTTTTTATTAATCCACGTGTCATGTCATTTTTTCTAATGAATTTGTAGGTACCCAAAATGTAATTTTCGTGTAAAAAAATTTTAAGTTTCTTTTTCTTTTTCTTTACCTATTACGACTTTTTTGAAAGTATAATATTGCCATGTTATCTAGCCATTTTCTGAAAAAACAAATTTTGGAAACAAACATTTAGATTAGGTGTAATGAAAGAATACAAACGTGTCAAAAAGGGGAACCCAGCAGCCATAACTTTCACTCATCAGCAATCAAAAAAGACGAAACATTAAAGAAAAACTTAAAAGGTGAGTTTTTGTTTGAGCTTTAAATATTATATAAAAATTATGTGTTTGTCCCTTCTTTACGACTATGTTAACTTAATATTTATATTTAAAATGTATTTAATGCTTAATAGGTATCTATTCATTTTCGTTGTACAACCGCTACGAATGTGAGATCAAACTTACAACCTCTTTGTTGGAGATATATATGCCAATTACCACTAAACTTTACTCACTTTGGCAATATATATCTAAAATTTTACGATTATGCTTATTCAGTATTGGTATATTAAGAATTTTTTGGAAAGTCTTTGAACTTTAGATATTGTGTATTTAATAAATTTCTGGCGTTAATTCAAATAGTTTAATATTATCGTGGCTCAATTATGGTGTTTGTTGATGCAGAGATTTGGCTTTCCGAGATCTCGCCAAATGTGCACCAATCCTCCAAAATACAAAAAGAGATCGACGGATCAACGTGACCTGCAAAACAGGTTGAAACTAGGACTGGTGTGGCTTTTACCACACGGGCTCCGACGCTTAAGTTAGTATCAGAAGTCTAGTGTAGAGAATAGGATGTTCAGGCGTCCCTTTTGGGGTTTGGTTCCTCTCTTACTTATAGTCGTCCAATCCCAATCCCCTTCAGATTTGCCCTAGTCGAAGCTTAAATCTCTAGGCCCGTTATTTCGTTGGCGGTTTTAAGTCGAATTGAGAATCAATGCGAGTTAATACGGGTGTAACTGCGAAACGGTCGGATGGACCATTATAGTTTTCGGCCAGGGGCCGGCTCAGGTCGACAGGTGCCAGCCCCCTTTCCTGGCTCGTGCTTTCTTCTCGGGTTCCTTTCGGCCTCCCGTCGCTTGGTCTCTTCTCTTTTTATCTTCCCATAACAGTGTTAATTAAGGGTTATACTTAAAATGAGCCGACCATATGATCTTGAATAATAATATATAGTTAATGTATGTTTATGCAAGGATATGCACAACAGTGTATTTCAGATTGCAGCTCGAACTCGGCCTCCGGACCGATCTGAATACTTGGGCGGACCTGCACAAAAAGGTGAGCACTCCCACGATCAAGTCAGTATAGGTCGGATTCCCAGTTTAATTCGAGGTCAGAAATCATCGTACCTGATCGTCGGAGTGCTCACATTTTTGTGCAGGTCCGCCCAAATATTCAAATCGATCCGGAGGCCGAGTTCGAGCTGCAATCTGAAATACACTGTTGTGCATATCCTTGCATAAACATGTTTATTGAAGGAAAAAAACAAGAAGAAGAATGAGAGAGAGGAGGAGGAATGATTATCAAACCAATGTTACCGAAGTTTGCTTTTAAAGTTTCACTCTTAAAATGTTTTGAAATAATAGAAAGTGGAGATTGATTGTTCTTTACAAAATATCTTTAAAAGTTATAAAAATAAAATTTAACGAACGGACCTTTAATAGTCCAAAAAAAAAAGACACTACAAAAATTCAATTAATTTTAAAAGATTAAAAGATTTCCTTTTCATTTTCATTTTTTAGTTGAACAATTAAATTAGGATTAAAAAATACATTTGATCATTAATTCCTAAATCCTAAATTTTAGTTTGCAACGATTTAGTCTCTATAGTTTCACTAAAGTAATAATTTAATCCCTAAACTTTAGTTTGTAATAACGATTTAGTACTTGTAGTTTAACATTTATAACAATTTAGTATATATCATGGAAAATCTTATTACAATTAAGTGTCAAGTTTTGTCATATAACAATTTAATATTTCTAATTTATAAACATATTTGGTCCCTCATTGGTTTATCAATCTATATATAAAAGAAATTTAATAAAAAGATTTCACGATAACGACTAAATCGTTATAAACTTTAAATTACAATGACTAGATTATTGTTACATAATAAAGTTCAATGATGATTATGTTGTTACCAATTCGAAAATACAGTAACAAAATTGTTACAAACTAAAGTTTAAGGACTAAATCATCCCTTAACAAAAATACATAACCAAAAGTATTTTTTAACCTTGAATTATCCAACAGTTATGCCAAATTAACAATGAAATATTTTCAATCAAACTTTTTTTTTCGTTATATGTACAACATGTAGGGTGGAGATCGAACTCACGACTTCTTGATCGAAGATAGATATTGCCTTAATCAGTTGTGCTATGCTCATGTTAGCATTTCTAATGAATCTAAATACATGTGACTATTATGAATAAAAATAATATTAAGATATAAGTCAAATATTTTAACTCATAAATTTCACCTTGATAAAATTAAGGGTCAGTGGCTTTACTTTCAACGTTATTTTATTTTGGTCCCTATACTCTCAAAACATCTATTTTGGCCACTTTTAGTTTTTGTCCATTTTAACTATTGTAGTTTTGAAATGTCTATTTTGATTATTGTACTTTCAAAAAGTGAGTGTTTTAGTTCATTAAATTTTTTAATCGCATTTTTAGTATAATAGTACACTTAATAAAATTCTTGAAATATAGTCCTAATTTTACACTAAAGAAATTATGCTAAAAGTTTGTAAAAAAATTAAAATAATAATTTTAAAATTACAATAACCAAAATAAATTGAGTGGAAAAAGTAGAAAAATCAAAATATTGAAAAGTTAAAAATTTATCAAAATAAAATTGACTTTTTTTTTTTTGTCAACAATTGTAAAATAATTGGAATAATGAGTGGGTACCAAAATTGGGAGGGATGGGGGTTCTGAAATTAGAACCTGGGATTAATAACGTCACGGGCATTAATTAAAGCTCTATAGCATTTATTATTATTATATTAATGGCGAGGACAAGCCGAACTCCTCGCCGAGTTGGCGTTAAGTTTCACCCCATTTTTCACTTAATTAAAAACGCAACTCTCCAAGAAAAGAAAAAAAAAAGTTTATTTTCCAAAAGTCAAATACCATTCTCGCGAGTTACGAGATATATACCACATGGTAACCGAATCCATCGGTTGAACCTTTACGCATCTATTTTTTCTTCTGTATATTAAGTTTTTGAATTAAGAAAATAATAAAATTCATGGACTAAATCATTACTTTAATCTAACATTCATTTTTTTTAGATTAAAAAACACATTTGGTTCATATGTTTTTGTTAAAGAAATTATTTAGTCTATGTATCATTAAATTGGTAACAATGTAGTTATTGAATAACAATTTAATTCATATAATCTAAAATTGGTTTAAAAAAAAGTTTTACTATAAAAAATCTCATAAGATGAAGTGTCCATTTTTATAATACAACAATTTAGTTTTTGTAATTTATAGACATATTTAAGAAACTTAATTGGTTCATTGGTCAAAAAGACTAAATCGTTACAAAATTTAAGCTAATAGCTAAATTGTTATAAATTTGAAAATATAGAGACTAAATCGTTTGAAACTAAAATTAAACTAAATTGCTACTTTAATAATAATAATATATATATATAGATCAAAATGACTGATTTATTTATTTATTAAATGATGAATAGAAAATTACTAAATATAAAAAACATATATATAGTTTAGGTACTGAAATAAAAATTTTAAAAATTTAGATTCCAAAACAATACTTAAACCAATACTATTGTCCATTTAAACATAGTTCAATAGATCAAATACCTTTTATCAGCTCAAACGTGGATGATTTTCAAATTTTGACTTAAATTTTAAAATTGTAATTAAAAGGCAGATAAAATACCTAAGCAAAACTAGTGTTAACAAGTTTAATTTTAAAAAAATAAAAAACTAAAATTAACAAATAAAAATCTAAACCGTTGTCAATTTTAGAGGAGGAGAGAAAATAAGATGAAGGGTTTTATCTTGATAACTCGATAAGCTATATAATTCCTAATCATAATTTAAATAGAAAATCTAATCCAAATAGCAGAATTAAATTAAAATACACGATCTAATCTTTAAAATAAGCTAACATTATTATTATATCTCACATTTACATTTATTGTAAATAAAATTGTATATTAGAAAGAAAAAAAAAAGTAGGCATATTAGAGAGCTGGTGGAACCTTCAGGATTTCCAATGTAAGCAAAGTTTTATTGAGTCCACGTGGCCTAAGAGCCACGGCGCGGGGGTCTCTCGAAGCAAAGGAATCAAATAAAAAAAATATAAAAACAAAAACTAAAATAAAATTGGGTATTTATTTTATTTTCTTAATTTCCAAATAAAACCATAACCAAACCGAAGAAGGAAGAGAGAGAAAGAGGGGTGAGCCGCGCAGTTTCAACTCACACAACTCGTACCATTTTTAACCAACGAAATCCAGATCTTCCTCTTTCTTCTTCCTTCTCCGATTCTTCTTCTACTTCACCCTTCAGATTTTCTCCAGAGAGAACCAAAATTTTCCCTCTCACTTTCTCGAGAAAATTCCTCACCACAGTCTCCCTATACCTCTGCTCCCAAATTTATATATATTCCGTTTCATCGTCGTCATCGTCGGTTTGACAGATTCTCCTTGTCTTGATCGATGTCTCTGGCTCGTCCTCTTCTGAGACTACCGTCTGCGCCTCTGCTTAGGGTTTGCTCTCGAGGTATGTTCCGTTGCAGGTTTCTGGCTTTGTGCTTCTCTAAGTCAGCTGTGTATATCGTATCCTCTGTTTTTTTGCTGTTTCGTTTTACTGTTTGATGTGGATTTGATTCGAGATCCGAGTGTTGAGCACCGGCATTGTCGAGATTCGATGAGTTTGTGGCTCTCCTTGTGCGTTTTGGTTTCAGTGTGCCGGGAGTTGAGTTGATGGTTGTTGTGAAGAGATTCTCTTCATTGCTCTCACTGTTTTTAATGTGTGTTCCGGAAATTTCGGTTGGAGTAGGAGTTTAATGGACATTTTCTGATTAAGCCTTGGATTTCCTTTTTTGTTGGTTGCTCATCCGTTTTTTGCTGTGTAGAGGAAGATGGTGGTTCTTCTCTCTCTTTCTTTTTTCATTCCCGAAAATAAGAAAAGTGAGCTGCTGGAAGGTCGGAAATCTTTTACGATTTGACATCGATGGAGGTCTGTGGAAAAAAAATCAGGTTTCGGGAGTTGTTTTCTGTTTGGATCTGTCTTTATTGATAGTTTCTAAGCCCACTGACTTCCTTCGCTCACTTGAAGTGATCAGAGGAGCCGCATATTCTCACGAATGTTTGTAGAGGCTCGAGGAAGACTGCGGAAAACTAAATCTCATATTCGTTAGTATCGTAAATCGCGGGCACGTTGCCTCGGAACGTTTTCATCAAATGGAAGTTGATTCTCCTCTTTCTTGCTCTTTGATCTTTTGAAAATATTGGCCAAAGAGTTTCCAAATCTTGAATCTGTTCCCTGACGCCCTTGAACCGATCGCTTCTTGACTTTTGACGAAGTAGGAGGGATTCGGAATAGTAATTTTGCGTGCTGAATTTTGTTTGCTATTTCCATTTATTCAGCCAGAAAAGGAATCTGAATGCTTCATGCCTACGAAAGACTTCAATTTCTATGCTTCAGTTACGCGCATTCAAATAATTGACATGGCAGCTTCCATCTAATGTTTTCTTGTTTGTTCCTGCAACTGTAGGTTGACGTGCCTGTGCGGATTTTTTCCATTGGGTTTGGCGTTGTCCTCTGGAAGTTCAAAACCATTTACCTTTCACACTCATCATCTCTCAATTGAAATGTTAGGTATGCTTTGTAGATTATTGGCGTGAAAAAAAAAAAATAAAACTTGAACGATGCTCTGCATCTAATGTATGAACATGAGTTTTGAGGTGCTAAAATGTTGGGACAATTTTTAATGGATGGACCGATTTATTTTCCAAATTCTTCTAGTGATTCTACTATTTGTATTTAGTTAGAAATATTTCTAACGCCTTTTCCTTACTTTTTCCTTTGAAGGCTTTGAAGGCCCTGGAACTAGTGATGAAATTAGAGAGAGTTTTGAAAATTCTGAAGATGAGAGACGGCTGTTCAAAATTGGGAACCTCAAGAAAAAGGCAATAAATGCTTCAAATAAATTCACTCACTCTCTCAAGAAGAGAGGAAAGAGAAAAATTGACTACAGGGTTCCTTCAGTATCCATAGAGGATGTACGAGATGCGAAAGAGGAAAGTGCTGTCCTTGAATTGCGTCAAAAACTTCGTGAGAGGAATTTGCTACCTTTTAGGCTTGATGATTATCATACTTTACTGAGGTCTGTAGTGTACAATTTATGGAATCATTCTGCTTCATAAAACTAAATACTGTTAAGTTCATACATAGTAGCCAATATAAGTATCCTCATTCTATTTGTTATTTTTCTGTAGATTTTTGAAAGCTAGAGAATTTAACTTGGAAAAGACAATCCGAATGTGGGAAGAAATGCTTAATTGGAGAAAGGAATATGGAACTGATACTATTCTAGAGGTAATGTATGGATACATCCCAGTAATCCTCTAAAGCGATCTTCTGTTCTGCCTTGATGAGAGTTATTTTTCTTGTTACCATATTACCATCATCTTTATCATTTGCATCCGCAATGAATAATAAGTGTCCAGTCATGAAAATGCATAATGTAGTTGGATAATTTGTCATATCGTCATATACCAGTTTTTAAGCTTTAATATGTATATTATTGAAATGATTCAATTGTAGGACTTCGAATTTGAAGAGCTTGAAGAGGTATTGCAGTATTATCCTCAGGGATATCATGGAGTTGATAAAGAAGGCAGGCCAGTTTACATAGAGAGGCTTGGAAAAGCCCATCCAAGTAGGCTCATGAATATCACCACAATAGATAGATACTTAAAGTACCATGTGCAAGAATTTGAAAGGGCACTGCATGAAAAGTTTCCTGCCTGTACAATTGCGTCTAAGAGGCGAATCTGTTCAACAACGACAATATTGGATGTGCAGGGCTTGGTACGATGAAAACAGTCTTGAAAGTTTTTTTCTATTCAGTTTGCTTGAAATATAGTAGTAAACACAACCACACTATTGTCCCAACTAATGATGAAAATATTAGTTCCATATTGGGAGCTCAAATTTTATAGAACCATCAATAATTGTATTCATAGCTTGATTGAAAGAATATATAAACTTTTTTTGGGTTGACATTTTGATATGAAAATTTGAAAATTATGGATGCTATCTGATTGTTTGGGTAAATTACTTAACTTAAAGATGTTATGAATATGATGTTAATAGTATTATCAACTATGACATGAAATCCATTTATTTTTCACAACATTGGTATCTTAAATACAAAAATATTATTTACAAGTAGTGAATTGGATTCCGTTTGGGTGTTATAGATCAGGTTCAATTATTTTGCACCTCACTGATTTGTATGAATTATTCTATCACGCACAATCTTTTTGTAGAAGGATGGACAATGTGAAATGATTACCGTTCAATTTATTAAAATTTCATTTTTCTGGTACTAATACTTGATTTCAGGGCATGAAAAATTTCTCCCGCACTGCTGCAAATCTCTTAGCTGCCATGACAAAGATAGACAATAGTTATTATCCTGAGGTAATCAATTCCTCCAAACATAATTGATCTTTTCTCTGGTGCTTCTCTCATTCCTTTTTCTCTTATATCTGCAGACATTGCATCGAATGTATATCGTCAATGCTGGTTCTGGTTTTAAAAAGATGCTCTGGCCTGCTGCTCAAAAATTTCTTGATATGAAAACTGTTGCCAAGATTCAGGTATAGATGTGGCATATAAAAGTTACATGCACTTTCCCTTTCTTATGCTTTAGCTGATTCTCTATTTCAAATTTGCAGGTTCTTGAACCCAAATCTCTTGGAAAGCTACTTGAAGTCATTGACTCAGAGTATGCCCACTTACAACCTCTGTATTGGAATATGTTCTTATCTTTTATTCACTTTGCTAAGCTGCTTGTTATTTCAGTCAGTTGCCAGATTTCTTGGGTGGCTCGTGTACATGTAGTGTTGAAGGAGGGTGCCTTAGATCTAATAAAGGTCCCTGGAATGATCCTGAGATTATGAAGGTGATTTTTCACCATGGTCCAAATGTAGTCTATGTTATGTAGTTTCAATTCATCTCTTCTCCCATTTCATTCTATCAATGAAATTGTTTCCTTTCCAAAAAAAAAAATGTAGTTTCAATTCATCAGCACATATAAATTAACCTAGTATTGTGTTTTTCTAGGTTGTGCATAATGCAGGAGCCACTTTTGTTAGGCAATTCACAAGAGTGCCCAAGAATGATGGTAAATTTCACTCGCGAGCTCAAATACCTTCACTGAAGGTAAGTGTTGGTCTGATCAGAAGCAGTACAAGTATTGCATATTTCATTCTGTAATTATGATGTGTAATCATATGGATATTTATCTCTTCTATTAGGGAAGAAGTAGTGATACATCATTAGCAGACTCAGGATCAGATATCGATGACCCGTACTCCCCGCTGGAGCGAGCTAGCTCTATGGTTCCTTGTCTGGCTCCAGTTCACGAAGAAGTGAGTCTTAAAGAACGTAGCACATGAATTGTGAAATTGTGTTGTAGATGCATGAAAAAAATGTCAGCAAAATTACATAAAATTTTTATTTTTTGCAGCTAAGAGCAGCAGATCCTAATGCTTACTACAGTTGTGATGATGACTTTCTACCTGCAAGGACAGTAAATGGAAGTGACCAAAGAGTTAGAGGTTCTCATGGTCCATCTCTTGAAATAATGGATAAAGGGAATTTCTCTAGCAAAGTGACATCAAACGTAGAAGGTGCTTAATGTAAATTATTATATTTCTCTTTCTAATTACCCTTAGAAAGTTTTCAATTTTTAGTCGGTCAGAGTTTTCTTTTCCTTTTCATAGTTTTTTTTTTTCTCGAATTCACCCTTTTTTAGGAACTATAACCAATGAGCATGGAACTCTCAAGCAAAAACTTGAGAAAAGAAACCTTCCTTCTATAGGAAGAGTTCTCATATCATTCTGGGTCAGATTGGCAGCACTTATTCGTAGTCTACAATTTCAGTTTTGGAAAAGGCAGAACAATAATATATATCCTTCTAACACCGAAGAACACTGTACAAATAACAACACTGCTGCAATTCAAGAGGCGAACGAAGAAGATTGCGTCGGTCCCTGTTTACAGCGTCTCGAGAGGCTAGAAAAAGTCTTTGTAGAGCTGAGCAACAAGCCTGCTAAAATCCCTTTGGAGAAAGAGCATTTGCTTACTGAATCTTTGGACAGGATCAAGTCAGTTGAATTTGACCTGGAAAAAACTAAAAGAGTAAGCTTTTATTTGTGTGTTCTATTAGTTGAATATGAGCATTCTTCTTATAATTACAATGATTCTTGTAGAATAGCCTTTACATCTATGTTGTTGCTTCAGGCTCTTCACGCTACTGTTGTAAAGCAACTTGAGATAGGCGAGCTGCTGGAGAAATTACGGGAGTCCCAATGTCAAGTAAGCAGCTTTTGAGATCATAGGGCGCATCATTTTTGCTTTTTGTTTTTAACTTTTGAAAGTGATTTTTATTTACTACTTTTTTAGAAACACTTTTGAAATATTTGTCAACTTTTGAAAAATAAAAAAAGGGTAGCTTTCAAAAATCTGTTTTTCTTTTAAAATTTGACCAAGGATTTTGAAAAACTAAACAAAAACAAAATATAATCGTTGGACAACTGTGATAAAATCTTCAACTATGATAATTCCAACTTGGAAATTTTCAGAGGCCTTAATTGAATTGGGTCCTACAGTAGACTTCTCTTTTCTTTTTCTCCTTTTCCTTTTGGAGAATGTCCTACAGCAGACAAATTCAGACATATATATTTAATTAAAAATCATGGTCTATATTTTAAAACTTTCTATAGAGTGATTTCAACCAATTAAAAAGAAACCTCAGAGTAGCTGTGAGAAATTATAGAAACATATAAAAAGCAGCAATTGAAGTGCTTTTGGATGAAATATTTAATTAGTTTTCTTCCTTGAAAACAAATAAAAAGTATTTAAAAAAGTGGTTGACTCAAAAGCACTTTTTGAAGTTATCCAACCAAAAACACTGTTGGAAAATCTAACCCCAGTATGACATGTGATATAATACTTGCAGCAGAGAAGATTTTTGTGTTAGATTGCGAAGATCAGAGAAAAATGGCTACAAAAGAGTAGCCTTTGAAATGAGAAGAAAGACAAGCACGCGGAATGGACAAAAACCGATGGACATTGGCTGGCGGCCATGGCAGAGAGAGAGAGAGAGGAATAGGGCAAAGCAAAGAACACATCGTACATTTTCCTTCCCTTTTTTGGTTGGACTTGGATCACCTCTGTCTTCTTCTTCTTTCTTTTTGCTTTTTCATTTTCTTCATTATATATATATATAAATTAAAAATATATATATATATATAATTTTTGAGGGTTTTATATAGACAAGGCTGACAAAATGGTATACAAAAGGAAAGGCTGGGTAATGTTTCCTGTAGAGACTACAGGCTTGGAGAGGAGGGGGGTCAAAAGCAGGAGCAGCAGCAGCAGCAGCAGTTTCAATTCACCTCCAAATCACATGCTTCTTCCAACTTCCAAGTAAATTTCTAATGTTTTGATTTCTCTGTGTATTTCTTAAATGTATGGTGATGTAGTAGTAGTAGTAGAGTTGGAATAGAATAGACAGATACTTCTAAAATCCATGAGATCCCAATCACTCTCTTGTATATCGCTAATCAAACTGTGCATTTTTGGGTTCATTCCTCATTCTGTTTCAATTTTAAGATGATACTTCCTTTTTTTTTTTGGATTGGATCAAAGTTTAATAGGGTTTCTTATATGTGTAGATTGATAAACTAGTGAGGGATCAAATAGTAAATTTTTATACAATAAGAATTTAACACTTAATTTTGATGAGACTTTTCACGGTAGTAATTGGATTCTTACAATTTTTATACTATGGGGGACTAAATTGTTAGATGTTAAAGCTGTATAATTAGATTGGTATAAATTTAAAAGTATACTGAGATTAAATTGTTACAACCTAAAGTTCAAGCATTAGGTAGATATATAATTTGAGGAGCTAAAACTAAATCGTTAATAACTATATGTTTATTGCAATATTGAGAAGACTTGTTAAAACTTAAGCAAGCAAATCTCGATTTCAAATATTTGTCACATTTAATAAAGTTCCTTCTATGAACCATGCTTGAAATTAAAGAGGGAGAATAATCGATAATTATTTCATTAAAGGAGATGCCAACCAAATCTTAGCTCTCTCTAGCTCCTCTAGAATAAATGATACTTAAATATGACCTGTGACAAGAATGGTTTCTTACCCAACTAAAATTAGGTAATATTAATTGGCACTAATGTAACTAATTTTGTAACTTGTTAGAATCCTTCTCACGTGTCTTCTTCAAATTCGAATAATCGATCTAATTGGTGGAAAAACTTATGGAAGATTAGTCTCTAATAAGATCAAAATTTTCACTCCATAAACTTTCTCTACTATATCCCATCAACTTCTCAAAATCTTAAAACGAACAGCATTACCATAAATGATTGTTTTTTGCTTAGCGAGAAGAAACCAAAATTCATGCTCTATTGTTTTTATTTTCAGTGAAAACAGAAAATATAACCAGTGTTCAAAATGTCAATATCGATGAAAATGTCGAGGTTTCGATTTTACGGACATGTCGATGTCGATGGATATTTCGGGAAAAATAATGGAAATAGTGGAAATTGATGGAAATTTTTTGAATTAACAAATATAACTTGAATCGTAATTAGCCTATAATTGATCACCTTTAACCATTAAAGGTAAGAATATGACCATTTTACTTGGAAATTATAAACTTTAATTGTAAACTTTTGACTACGAATTACTGAATTGAATAAGATATGGAATATTTATATAGATACCCACACATGTACAAATATTAAAAATAGAATGATATGTTTGAAAATTTTGTAATTAAATTTAAAAAGAAAAATTGAAAAAAAAATCAACCAAAATAAAAATATTTAAAATAGTAAAAATTGAAATAAATGTATAATTTAAATAGTAATAATAATAAAATAAAAAAAATTGAAAAGAAAGGCAGGCAGCGTCCCAACAATCCCACGTCGAGAAGGGATGGGGGGAGGGGAGCGCCTCGTACAAAAGGCGCTCCCTCCCAATTTTTCTCTTCTCATCCGACTGGTGTTGGGCTCACTTATGTGGGCCGGATGATTGATTTAAAGAGAATTGCTAGGTCCGTTTATTTGGCATGGTGATACAGTTAATTTTTTTTTTTTTTTTTTACGATATTCGATAAATATTGTCGAAATGTCGATATATTCACGACATTTTTGACGATATTTTAATATATCGTTGATAAAGGGAGCAAATGATTTTTTCCCCTTTAAGTCGATGTCGAGTCCTTCGACATGTCGACATATTGGTCAACGTGTCGAACGATATTTTGAACACTGAATACAACTCTATTTTTCATTGAATTGTTTGTTTGAATTTTTTTTTAGATCACCGACCAAGCGGACTCTTGTTTTGACCAGATAAGCTATATTAACCTCAACTCAATATATAGGTTAAAAACACATTTGGTCCTTGTACTTTGACTATAGTAATGATTTGGTCTCCAAATTTTAGTTTGTAACGATTTAGTTCCTGTATTTTCATTAAAGTAACAACTTAGTTCCTAAACTTTAGTTTGTAACGATTTAGTTTCCATAGTTTAAATTTTGTAACAATTTATTCCTTATTGTGAAAAATCTTAATAAAAATTAAGTATCAAATTTTATCATATAACAATTTAATCTTTCTAATTTATAAACATATTTGGTCCCTCATTGGTTTATCAATCGATATATATATATAATAAACTTAACAAAAAAAAATCATGATAATGACCAAATCGTTACAAACTTTAAATTACAATGACTAAATTATTACATATTAAAGTTCGAGGATTAATTTGTTACGAATTTTGGAGTACATGGACTAAAACATTACAAATTAAAGTTAAGAGACTAAATCATTGCTTTAACGAAAGTATAAGGAACAAAAGTGTTTTTAAGAATGAACCAAAATCGTCGAAACTGTTAATTATTTATTACTATTTAAATTATACAAAAGAAATAATAAATAAATATGTTGGTTAAGTTTGAACTCTTAAATAAGCCTTCTAATTTTTAAAAATTTCTAAAAGATTTCAAAATTTTTAATATTGTGTCAGAGTTTTAAGCGTGTCAAATTTTTTTTTTGAGGTCATTGAACTCTAAAAAATATTTGATAAGTATAATAATTATTCTAATAATTACATATCTAATTTAGTAAAAAAAAAAAAAAAAGCATATGCAGATATATGTTTCATCCTTATTTGAGTAATAGTAATAAGATTTTTTTATATAGAATAGTTAGAAATTATAGAAAAAGATACCATTTGTTTGATGAGAAATAGAAAGAAAATATCTAAAATTCAAGATTTGAAGGAAGCTCAAGCAGTTATTTCGCACTTACCTATTTGTTTAAAAATATTGCATCTCATGATGACTCCTAAGATAAGTGATAAAAGAATGCTAGGTATATAAAATGATGTTTAATCTCTCGCTTGATTTGATCGTTAATCTTTTAAAATTCTCAATATTCTTGATTTATTAACATTTTAGACATCAAAAGGAAAAAAAAACGAATTTGTGAACTGATTGGTCAAAATTTTGTTGATGGATATGTTGAATTTTATGTGTCAAATAAGTATGTTAACGTGTCTAAATATGTTAATAAAATAATAATTTAATCGTTTATAAACTTTTTATTAACAAATTATTTATGGAGTGACCTAATTGAAATTTTTCGGTATATTAAAGTGAAAATTAAAAATTTTAAATGGTTGAAGACCAATTTGAATATGAATTATAATCCATATATATGATACTAAATCCAATTGATTTTTAAAAAAAGGATTGTTAATTCTTTTAACTTAAAATCTTAAAAGGTTTCAAAAATAGACCTTAAGAATCTAGATACAATACAACATTAAGAATTTAAAAACTTAGTTGACACTTAAAAGTGACTTATTAAATAAAAATTTATAAATTCGAGATTTAAATACTATTTTGGTCACGTACTTTTGCCTTTTGTTTATTTTGATTCTTAAACTTTGATAATGATCTCTATATTTTCAAAATATATGTTTTGGTCCCGTATTTTTAAAGAGTGACCATTTGGTCCCTTCAATTTGTTTGTTTATATCATTTTTCCTTCACAATAATAGCATGACATTTTATCCACTAAATTTCTTGACGTATAATCATAAATTTGTATTAAAAGATTTTTATTGGGTATATAATTTAGGGGCAGTTACAAATATGACAAACAAATTTAGCATCTACATTTTAGTTTTGTAAATATAGCAAAATTTTTAGGAAAAAACAGAGGCCCAATAATAAAATGTCAAATTTACCCTCGTAGCACTGATATAACACTGATATAACACTGATATATATCTGATATATATTTGATATACCTCGGATCTACTACTGATATACAACTTATATATTACTAATATAACTATGATATCCACTGATATAACTTCTTACATGATTATATTATTTACTATTTATTGATTTATCACTGATATATGTGTGATATATAATTGATATGCTTTTGATATACCACTGATATAATACTAATATACAATTGATTTACTTCTGGTATAACTATGATATCTATTTATATAACTTCTAATATGGTTTACTACTAATATAAGATATTATACGATTATATGACTTACCATTGATTTACCACGATGATATAACACTTACTTGAAATATTTCCAGATTATTACTTGTGACAGTGTGCACTTGCACTTACCCTCATGCTATTAAGTAGATGTGCAACACTTATATATCTGTGATATATACTTGATACGCCTCTAATTTACCACTGATATAACTATGATATCTATTAATATAACTTCTTATATGATTATATGATTTATCACTAATATAACATAGATACATCTGTGATATATATTTAATATGCCTCTAATTTACCATTGATATACCTTTGATATAACTATGCTATTTACTGATATACTTGTGCTATCTATGTATTGATATAAATCTAATATATCCATTAATTTTTTCAAATGAAAATAATGGTGTAAACAAATCAAATAAAATCTAAAAATATTGCATAAAAGATTGATAGGGACAACGAACATCCAAAAAAACAAGTTAAAAAGTCTAATATACTTTATAAACTTAAACAATTGATATCTTGTATATTTAGTATCTAATTAATATTAATATAGATTAAATAGTTGATATAGCAATCAAAATTATTGATAATATTTGTATATCAATCAACAAATCAGTGATAAACTAAAATTTAAACAACTGATATACCAATGAAAATTAAACATTTGACATGCCTTACATTTAGTATACCAGTTACAAATATATTTAGCATACCACTGATATACATTTGATGTACATCGAATGTACATTAGAAATACATCGGATGTATATCAGTTACAAATATATTTAGTATATCATAAATTAGAAGTACAATAAATGTATATTAGATGTATAATACTACATCTCATGTATATCAGAGATATATCAGGTGAATATCAAATATACATAAGATGTATATCAGAAGTTATAATGTAAAATTGAAATAATAAAAATTTCAAAAATAAAAATTCAAATATTTTGTTATATTTACAAAAATACAAAAGAGGTTGACATTTTTGTAAATAGGTTTAAAAATTTAGTTATTCAATACAATTTTTCTATAATTTATGTTAAAGTTTTGCAAAATAGAGATAAAAAAAACTTCTCTTTTTTAAAAGTAAGGACCAAAACCAAACTAGACGTAGTATAAAAATTAAAATGAATAAGAATAAATACAAATAACAAAATAAACGAAAATAATACAGTCAACAAAATAAAATTAAAATTAAAATCCAGAAATAAATTTAATTCCGTTCTATTAGGTTCGGTTCGGTTGGGCCGACAGAAACCCAGTTTCCGCGTTTAGCTGTATCCCATTCCAATCCACCGCTGCCGTAAAATAAAATAAATAAATAATAATAATATCCTTCTGTTTATTAATTATTTCTCCACTTTCAGACGTGGGAGCTGAAAATAAAACTTTTTCAAAAGAATATAAAAATTACGAATACATATTAATTCTAAAGGCCAAATTCAACAGCCTGGCCCTCGCCTTCCCGTCGAAGAAGAAGAAGCTTCTCTCTCTCTCTCTCGCCGGAAAATATGGTCTCCGATCGATACTTCTGCAACTTCTCACTGCTTCTTCTCTTCTTCCTCTCACTCCTTTTCTCCCCTTCTTCTTTCACTTCCATTTCAGGTACCTCAGATTTCATTTTCTCAATCATGCCCGCATTGTCGACTTTCACTTTCCTGCTTCTTCCACTCTGTCTGTCTCTTTAACTCTCCAATTTTTTGATTACCTGCAGGTGATGTGTTTGAATCTCAGGTTTCGATCGGTCGGAGCCTCCTCCAGGCTAAAAAAGGTTGTTCCCCCCTTCCCCTTTCTTCAACATCTGCGTAATTTGTTGTTCTTTTTCTGTTATGGTAGTTCACTAGGTGTCAACACCTCTGATTTGGATTGTTTGTTTAAGATCTTGCCGACCTGTGCTGCTTCTTTCTTGTGGTAGTGTTTAATTTGGGGATATTAGATGTGGCCTACTGGATTTGACAATTTAATTCGTTCGCTTTCAACTCAAATTCTTCTAGGATTTCTCTTTTGCCACGACTGCCGAGAAAAAAGGAAATTCAATTGTAACAACAGCTCAATTTTATCGGGTTGAATGATTTATTCATTTCAGTTTCCCGTGATTTACGCAGTGATTCTTTTACATTAAAAGGGAAAAATGTAAGCGGTGTAATTTTGTAACGAAATCGTATGTTTTCAATGTTTAGGGAAATGTGTATTTCTTCCATTAGTGATAAGATTAATCCATGTTCATTCTGTCAATCTTGATACCCTCGGGTTGCTGTTCATCATGTGGTCTTGCTCTTGCCTGTAAGCCTTTTTTCCTAAGCCAGCTCAAGAACATACGAGGCTTTAAATACGTAAATCATGGAACAGCTAGTTGAAAGAGTTGGGACTTACGACTTTAACATTTTCGAATCACTTTTCCCAATGTGAGTGGAGTTAGTTATATCTTGTAAAAGTTTTAGTTGTACAGTGGATCAACAGTAAAGCTATAAACTTGTGTTACAAGTTAATGTGAGTCCAATTAAAAAAAACTTATTGCTTTCATTTGTTTCATAGGTTTTTTTTTCCATTTATGCACATAAATGAAAATGAAAACCGCTTCTAGAAAATAGAGATCATATCCTATAATCTATGCTGTCTGTACCTCAAGCTGGTCTTGATTGTGTAGCTTTTTCTTGTATTAGTGATCTGTTACATAGTGAGGGTTTATTTTGTTAACACATTCTTGGAAGTTTGAATAATCTGTTTCTTTCTCTTTTCCTTTCTTCCTCAGAAATCTTCAAATGATTGCATTTAGAAAATGAAGAACTTAGTATATGTGGAGTTATCATCCTGAGTCCAGATGTTTTTTTTTTCCTGATTTTCCGTCTTGTATGTTCATGAGTAATAATCAATTCGAAATGTACATTACCCCCTCAATTTATGACCAATTTACTAAATATCAACTTCATGGACAGAATTACTGAACTAAAGAGCTTTATTTTAGCTCTTGGTTTGAGATCTGGCATTTGAGTCATAAGTTTCTGCCATTTTTGCCTTATCGTTTCATCTTTTTCGCCCCTTTATGAGGTAGATAGGATTAAAGCA